AACAGAATTGTGATGAGTAATGTGTTACAAATGTGTGGGTGCGGAAAATTGATAAAGAGTATATAGGAAAAAAAACAACCCTCGTATTTTGCTCACATTTTATTGTGCATGTATTTTCTCTCGTTCTTCGATCGACTAGTCAAATCTTTTTCAGTCGTATGTAGTACTTCATTTATTTACGTTCCTCTACATAACTGACTGGGCGCAATGACTACGTCACTATATATAAGCGGAGGAGAACACACAAGAAAAGAAAAAAAAAGGAAAAAGGAAAAAGAAAATTTTGTCTGTTCTGTCTTTGTGAAGGCGCGAACCAACGGAAAAAGGAAAAAACGGTCAAAGCTTGTCATCGTTTTATTGATAATAAGTGTGCATGTTCAATACCGAGACGTTGGAAAAGACACGATTTAATTCGATCAATGTCTTCTTGAATTAATTTAAAACTCAAAGCTGTGAGCATAACTCCAAATAATAAATATATAGCACAGATAAGTGATCGTCCATTTCGATGAGTAATTGTAGTTTCACCTGGTACCAAATCACCAAAACCAATTGTAGTAAATGTTATAAATGAAAAATAAGCACTATCAATATATGACCATCCTTCCCATGTAGCAAAAAGAATAGAACCAGCAAGAAGATAAAGAATTAAAAGAGTTATTGGCACCCAAAAAGGTACTTTTTCATCTAAATATATCTATAAAAATATTTCTTAGAATTTATTCATAATAAAAACTGTATTTTTCAAAAAAATATTTTACAAATATGAATCATTTTTCAGCAATTTTTTAATACTGTATTATAATGGTATTCAATAAATAGAGATAAAGTACATAAATAGACCAATATTGTCAAAATGTTTTGATAAAATATTGACAATGCACCATTCTTATCTTGTCTATTAGTTTTTAAAACTCAATTCAATCATAATAACTCATATAAATCACTTAAACAATGTTTAAAAGCTTTTATAACACCTACTTTTTCTTGTAGTGGTATTTTTTTTCTTTTGAAATGTCGTCGAAAACATCGATTGAAATATTGATAATATTGTGTTACTAATAATGCTAATGAGTCACCAACTAATTTTAACCATGAAACAACTAAAAGAATACCAATTAAAGCATCTAATAAGAAAAAAAAAACAATAAAATTTTTCTAAAAAATTTAAAATATAATTTTACAAATAACTGTAGAAATTTTTCCTAATGTTGTTTTAGGTGAAATATTTCCATAACCAATCGTTGTTACTAATGTTGCTGCATATAGTATTGCTGTTGAATATGTCCATTTATAAACAAATTTCTCTTCAGCAACTTGTCGCATAGCTAAACGTAATGATAAATTTTCTAATTCAAATTCTGTTTGATTATCCAGTATATTAGCTCGTTCATTATTTAAATAAATATAATTTGATAATTTTTCATTGTTCCATCTCCATTGTTGATAAGCATTTTCAAAATTTTCATTTAATTGTTCATTTAATAAATGAATAGCTAATGAACGAATATGTTCATATGTTTCACTAATTATTTCTTTTCGTTCATCATCT